ATAGATAGGTGTGGGTCACTGTAGGTCATTCGCTCATTCCCTACTAATTAGGCATCATGCAGTCAGTAATCTTGTGACGAGTGGGATTTTGTCACAGGTTGCGAGCTTTCATCCAACCTGGCCATACCTGCAGTGTTGACCAATCGACCAAGGCATCGACAATGATAGACATGTTACAGTAAACAATTTATAATAACATATAATAACTAACATGGCAGAGGGGACTCAGACTTTTCCTTTGGGCAAGAACAACAAAAACAAATGTCCTTCGCCACAGGACGAGCCCAGCTCCTCCAGTGAGCTTTAAGAAAAGGGCACCAGATGATTGAATCCGCTGAAGAGCGCTGAACTCCCCGCGCACCTTCTTTTCTTTCCCCCGCGCAAAAAAAGGGCACGCGTCACCCCAGTCAGCTGCGACCCGGGCAGATGCGGTGCCTTAGGCACTCGACCAACACTTGCAACCCCTTCATCGACCCCTTCACCGTGTGTTGTTCGACCGCGCAGGTTTGCCCGTGAGTTCCGATGCCAGCGAGATGAGTGGCACGACGATCCCACCGAGCCTGGAATTGCGACAAGCCTTGCTGTCATCTCTGGCAGAGGTCTTGAGCTTGGACACCGCTCAGCTCAGACTCACACAGGCCAGCGTTTGGCCGGGCGATGTTTTCGTTGCGCGGCGCCAGGTCTTTGGTGCGCGGGAAGTTTCATACACGCTTAGCACTTGGAAGTGCACGATGCGGCGGACATGTTGATGATGGCGGAATTCCTATGATTCCTTTTGGAATAGGGGGTCCTTCCGACGACATGAAGAAAGCACCAAGTTTCCTTTTATGATGAACCTTTGCAAGTAGTTTAACTCTGTTGAGAGCCACTCTGGACTTTAGACCCAGGGGCACAGAATCAACCCTCCTGACCATGTGGTCACGTTGTTATGCTCATGAAACTGGTCTACAAACAGGGGACAGTTGCAAGAGATGTAGGAAAAGACTAGCCTCATCATGAAGGCAACATGCCACATCATGCCACCATCCCCTTTTCATCCCTTTTTTTACATTTTCTAAGAAGACTTAGTCTATCCTGGAGCCAAGAAAGGTCAATCCCCATGGAAAACCCCCGTCTTCCCCGTAGACCTCCCCTCGGCCGCCCACCCTCGCCCCTTTCTGCCTTTGCGCCGCCCAGGGCGAGCGTGCCGCCTGCGAGACGTTGAAGAGAGGAGCCACCGAGCCCGGCACCCGAAGGCGCGAGTGGTGACACTCACCGCAGTCGCGCGAGTGTGCGGTCGCCGCGAGGCTGCGAGGAAGGGCGGTGAAGCGTGGTGAAGGTTGAGGTGAAGGGTGGTGAAGGTTGAGAGTTCAGCCTGGTGCTGTTGAGACTGGCAGTGAAGGCGATTGGCCTTTGACAGTTCTTCATGAGGGGGTTGATCAGAAGAAAGGCATTTCCTCTACCAGGGCCTCTCCCCAAGGGGATCCAAGGGGGTGTGCAGCCCGTAGCCCCTTAGAGGATCGCTCATCATCCCATCTCTAGTCCCATCGGTGAAGGGAGAGCACTGCATGTGTCGAACCTTTCTTGGTGAACGTGCGGATGTGGTCGTTTGTGATTTGGACATATTTGGTTGGGACAGCTCCTATTATATAGCACATGGTTGGCCACCCAAGACATTGGAACCGTTGGAGCTGTGAGCCCAAATTATGTTGTTTCCAGTTGCATCAAGTGTGGAAGTGGGAGGGTGTTCAAAGGCTGTTTTCATTTGTTTTCGACTTAGAATGCTGTAGAAGAGAGGTTCGAAAATTGAAGCCCCTATATTGACAGCTGCTTTGCTTCCGCAGGCTTGGGAATTTGCTCGACTCCCATCCCGTGTGCCTCTTGGTACACTTCGAAGTCCTTCCTGATGGAGAAGTTGCATTGCATCCAAAGCTGACGCAAGATTTCCTGGATCGTGTGGAAGCGAAGATGATTCGATTGAACCAGGGCCATCATCAGGCTGGGAAAAGGGATGAAGGTGAGTGAGTCATGAACCACCAGAGCACCAGGTCGGATTCGCCGCACGTGTTTGCTTCGAATCCAGACCAGACCACTGGTTGGAAAAGACCTCCCTCCGAGAAGACTGGTGGTGGATAGTGGTGCACAGCATTTAAGGTTCGCCCAACTGAATTACTAAGCCCGTGTAGCGATTCCGACCCACCAATCATATTAATTAGATATCGGTGTAAATTGGGGTTTCTCCCTGCCGTCTTTTTTTTGGTCAATCCCTGAACCTATACATCACCATCACCATCGGGATCTCTCCGGATCTCCCCCCTAAAACGCATCGACCTGACCACTCATCTCCTCAAAAAACGAGGACCACCAGCCAAACCACCAGCAAGTAACCACTATGGCCAGGCAAAACTCGATGCGGCTCTGGCACACCGTCTTCACGGCCTCACGACCCTAACCGACCTTCATGCTTTGATCGGAGAGCCGCAGCAGGCGGAACGGCCGTCCCGCTCACCGCCCCGCCCGACCGAAGGGCCGGCCCTCCGACCGCCGAATTCCGCGTGCAGGGGATGTCTCCCAAAAGTCGGGGATCGCTGTGTTTGTGTTTGCCGTCTCGGGTGGAATTGCAGCGCAACCGGGTTGCGGGGGGGACGAGGAACATACAGGCACCCTGGTAGGGGTGGGGTCACAGTAAAAAGGCAAAGGTTTATCATTGATTGATCATTCATGGTATACCCCGCCTAGTGTAGTGTAAGAGATTTGATTTATTCATAACATTTCATAACCCTCCCTTTTGGATTGAAACACCTCTTCATATGGGTCCCAAATTCCCCCACTTCTCCTCGGCCACTGTCGCTGTGAATGGTATTTTGGCTCCTGGGAGACGTTGAGGAGTGTGTAGTTACGGAAGGAAGATCTAGCCAATTCAGAGCTCCATGCCTCTTGTATTTCTGGCAAGGTCATGAAACGCCACAGTCTCAGGCAATAAATTGCAACAACGACCCTTAAATCTAAGAGACTGGTCCAGTACCACCCATTCGGGTGGATTCTGAGAATACTTCTAGATACTTCTAGAACATTCTACAACCCCCCCCAGACTATGCCATCGCCAATATAACATATCTCAATTAACGCTCCGCTCCGCACTGTGGTGGGACTATAAAGGACTAGACATACACATGTCTTGTCCACGTCAATCCGAACGGCGTAACCGGCGCTGAGAGTCTTGGAACCCTCCCAGTGACCGTGACCGGCCATCCGTTGAGTGGACGCCGGCTCCGCCCTGGCAGGTCGCACCTAAGGCGCGGTCGAGAGGCGGCTCCGGTCGTGTCTTGAGTACCTTCGAGGAGTCCGGGACCGTGGTGACGATCAAGGAGTCGGAACCAGGTGAGGAACCAGGAGCGAGCGCGCGGGAAACGGATCGCAGCTGGCTTCGGCTGTGGATTGAGGTGAGGATTCATAGGTGAGGTAGATAGAGATAAAGAGCTGAGAGTAGAGCTGAGGACCAGCAGGAATGGGCCACAAGGTGGCCAGAATCACCAACATATCGAAGTCCGCGGGTGGTGTCCAAACGGAACGAACTCCTCGGCCCGTTCGGCCCCGCAGGATACATTTTGGTCGCCGTTCTCATCGGAGCGGTGCTGGGAACCCTCGCCGTGGCCTGTGCCGCGCGGACGGCCCGGAAGGAACGACTTCTTCAGCCGGAACGGACGGCGGTGGATCCAGTGGCCCCGGATGATGTGAGTGTTCATCTTGATGCGCGTGAATGAGGATGAGAAGGTTTTCTTCCTGAGGTGCTGGATGAAGAAGTAAGCCATCTAGCCATCTACATCAATCTACAGCACGAAACGTGCGACCAATCATCGAATTTGTGAATTAGATATCTTGACAAGCTTGAATTCGCCAAAACTGGCAGTTCTTCAGCTTGGCTCGGGGTGCTAAACTGACCAATATTTAGATTGGTTTAGTCGGCTGCAAGTTGTCCCCACAAAAGCGAGTATGTTTGAAAAGTTCCTCTTCGTGCCTCGTCAACTAATATGCACTGTAAATGAACATCACCAGATCCACGTCTTGTGAAGGGTGGCCTTGGTGAAAGTGGCGCTCTTTTTGTGGGACAAACTTGAATAACCTGTGCATAGCAACAGGCACACACAAAAGTGTGCAACCATCCTTGACTCAGTGCTGTGCACAGCATGTCTCTGACATGACCTCACGAAAGACACAGCGGAACTCTAGAACTCTGTGAAAGCGTCGAGATGCGACGGGGCAGAAAAAGAGACGCAGACGAGATCTTGATGGGACCGGGTGAAGAGAGGATGGTATGTGGGGTATACTTCGATTCATTCCAGCACATTCCAACAGGTCTCCGAAATGGAGACAGCACAAAGTGGTGGCAGGTGGCAGGTGGTGACCTGTAGAGTCGGGTGCTAGTAGTTCACAGTGTCGTTTTGGCATGTTTGTCGCGGTCGCAGGTGGCAGAGATATGCAGAGATCACCGTTGAGTTGGCCGTCGAGTTCCGTCGGGCGACGTCGGTCCAACGGTTCAAACGATATGAAGCAAAGGAGGTTCGCTCCGCTTCAGAGTCTGACGATGTCTGAAAGCTGCTTTCTTTTATGGTCCGAAGGCTGTTTCTTTCTGCCCTCCCAATTGGAGTCGAACGTGTCTGGCTTGGAAAGTTGGAGTCGTGCGTGGCCTTGACGTGGATGCTTCTTCTCGAGCTCTCGTGATGCGAAGGTTTTGATGGTCATCTGAGGGGAAGAGAAAAACAACTGGAATTCACAACGATGAAAACTAGAAACATGGTCACTTTAGAGGCCCCGTCCTTGACCCTGTTACAACCCAAGAAGCATTCCCATAGGCCAGTGCGGATTGCGCTCAAAGCATGGCCTGATCATTCTCCAGATTAGTCTGACTGGTGCTTGCAGAGTTGCCCAGGGGAAGTTCAACATGAGATAGGTGAAGGAATCAACCCAAAACGTCCGCACTTCATAAGAGGGATGGAACCACTCTTGCAGTCCCTGGGCAGGTCGCGGCGGCTTCGGCAGCCGGTTGCGCTGCCGGAAAAACCAAAAAGGGCCACCCGAGCGATGCCTATAGGTGATGCAGGACCCCTGGAAGGATGCTTTTTTGGAAGAAGGGAAGAGGGAAGCCACGGGAAGCCCATGATGTTAGAACATATATGATAGACACACTTGGACCTTATACACCATCGTACACCTCGAAAGCTTTCCAGAAAAAAAGAAAGAACTTGGAGCCACCACTCCCCTGGGGCAGGGCGAATGCTTCCAGAGTTCTTTTCTTCCGCGGTTGTTCCCTGGTTCCACCAGCCCATGGCCCACCCTGGACCCTCGCCAATGATAGCCCACGCAATCCGAGGCTCAGATTCCACGAGAGACGGTGCCACCGCTTCAGAAGATCCAGCAGGACCGGCGACCAGCAGATGGGGCGACGGAGAGCGGAGAGACGGAGAGAGCGAGCGGGACGACGACGACGAGAGCGCCGGGGGGGGGGCCCATGAAAAGAGTCACCCCCGAAGGGAGAAGAAAACAACGACTGAAAGGCACTGGAAGAATATAGGGCCTTCGAACAAAAACAGAGGGAATGGCATAAGAATGCAGGTGTTTTTGATGGTTTTTGGATCTCGTCTTGTCACTTCAAGGCAAAGGTCTTGGAAAGTGGCATGTTTTGGCGCATGGAACATGTCGGCCCTAGCCTGTGGAGTCTCACTGACCGCGAATCAACCTCGACAAGAAGTCGGAAACATAAGCAGAGGGGGATGGTCAATAAGAACTATTGCTGAGAAGATCTCAACATTAATATATGGTTCCTGAGTTCCAATCTGGGTGTCACAAAAAGACACGACCCAACCCAACTCGAGATGGTCAGACTAACCCTTATACATCCTTCTATACTACTTATAATGATCTGGAGTTCCAGACACCGGAAGATCCAGACGCCCAGACGCCCTATATCTTCGTTGGATCGAGTGCTGGACCGGGTCCGCCCCAGGCTCTTCGAGAGGGCGGCAAGGCAACGGGATGGACGTTCCCCTCGACGTGGCTCTTTGAAGCACCAGAACATGGTAGGAAGAATAGGCGGGGTCCTCTTTTAATTTGATTTTAATGGAGCGATATGGAGTGATTGATGTTGTTTTCGTTTCTTCTTGTATAAATCTCTTTAAGGACAAAGAACCTTGCATGGACACTAATTAGGGGAGGCCCTCATTTCATGGAGCGATATGGAGTGATTGATGCTGTTTTGCATTGACTTTCTTCTTTCCATCTTCTTTTGATTTGACAGATCTTGACCGGCAACTCGAAAGTCGAAAGTGGTTTTGAAAACAGATCTTTTTCGCCTCCCCCCCAAACCTAAGACTATACTTCTTGTTGAAAGCTCATGTCTCGGCTCCCGGTCTGGGCGGAACGATGAACTCGGGGTTCGGCTTCCTCCCGCGGGGGTGAAGCCGCGGTCTTGGACCTGGGTCGTTTCACCGGTGTGGTTGAAACAAGCTAAATTCGTGTGGTTGAATCCAAATGTGAAGTGTTTTTTGTTTATTTCTTTTCGTAGAAACATGTAGAAACCATTTCGTTTGATCTCCATTTAAGATAGATTACTCTTTCTGGCCTGTGTGGCTATGCCATTTCCTTTGCTACTGCCAATGTTGAGAGATGCGAGAGGAGAGCAGCAGGTTTTCTGATGTTCTTCCTGAGACTTTTGCATTTTTGTTACGCTCATGGCAACGTGATACTTTTGCCAGAGAGCTCAGAATATGTCAGAAGGGGCCAATATGAGGCCTGGAACACTTCCCCACCTTCACCAGGTCCTAAGCTCCAAGAATCTCACACGTGAGTTTTGGCCACCAGTCGAGGAGAAGCCATTGCCAAGTCCTTCTTCTCCAGGAACTGCGACTTCCAAAACACAGGACGCACATGTCTTTTTTTCATCGGTACATTTCAGAAAGTCAGCTAGTAAGCCACAGGCTGTTGGCTCCTTAAGTCAGCTGGAACTCGACAGAACTCGGCCAAGTTCTGGGGAGCGGGGAAGATCTCTTCTGGTGCGCTGCGGGGTCAAAGATGAGGAGTCCACTTGTTTCCTCGAAAAAACACCGCTTCATACCACCAGCCCTTCCATGCTTGCCATTGACGCTACAAAAGTAGCCTGCTGTAAAACTGTGAGTGTTGAGCTCAGCTGGAACCTCCGAATGACATGGAGAACAAATGGTTCCGAGAAGTTGGCACTTCATGACAGTTCCAGATATCACTACACCAGAAAAGGAGCAAGATGCATGATGCATTTGATTGAAAAGAGCAGAAGCCGCCGAGCAGTCCATCTACACCAACTGTTCCAAAACTGACAGCCTCAACGCAGGTGCAGTGTCTGAGAGTTTCTGGGCACTGACTGTCAGACTTTGCCACTTTTCAGGGCTCGTCTCAGGTCTTTTCTCATGCTCGTCTCAGTATCTGAGGGACAGTTAATGTATGCATGGATTGATGATCGATGGCTATGTTTGAGATGAGGGTCGGCACCATCTCGTTGGACGGATAAAAATGCGAAAGATCCCCGGAGCGGTCCAAGCTCCTTCAGAGGAGCTATGTTATTTGTCCAACCCTTAACCCTCCTGATATTTTCTGATGGATATGGAAGTGTGGAAACTGCAGACAGTCCGTAGTTACCGTAGTTAGATGACATTAGCTTGCTATGTGGAGAGCAAGCCTCAAATAC